TACCCCAGAAATGATTTGCCCCCCCCCCCCCCCAAGAGGCATTTGGCACTGCCCCCAAAGTTTTTGCACCCCCACAAATTATATATATTTTGATTTGATAGTTTCATATTTGATTATTCTTACTACTAAATTTGTAAAATTACCAATATTATGGTCTCAGATCTTGCCATGCAGACATAGAAAACAAATTTTGTTAAACTTTTTCCTTGGCCTTTCCAGGCGTTGCCACCAGGCCCCGGCCAAAGCAAGCAGCATCACCCCCCAGATATTTATCCCCCCCGAACAAAAATATGAAAATCCTTCTCTGATTCTTGCTAACAATAAGTTTACATGAACCTTGCCTGCACTCAACCCTAACACCTCAACTGGCCCTCATCCTAACCGGTAAGGCCCCCTGTTTGCACAAAGCCAGTCAGAATGCTCTTGAAATTCCACTCATTTGAACCCAGGACATAAGCAGATATATACTTAACTAACAATGAAGGTGATAGTCGTCAGTTGACAACTTACGGGCCCGAGGACTTGCTTGAATTCAACTGAAATTTATTTTATATCACTTTGGCATGTTGAAAGAATGAGGAAAATAGTTCACTTAGACAAATAGCATGTAAATATTGGGGTTTGGTGTCAGGCAAACAACCACTGTCTAAAATATTTTCCTCCAAAAATACATGAATTACCAACATCAAATATCATCTAAGCTGCAGAGCTTCCCCATTGACGAGTGATATTGTCTGGCTTTAGAAAGTAAAAAAAAGTAGGGCACACTGGGGCACATTGTGGCTCAATAGGTTAACTAGAGACATTGTCAGTTTTTTTTTGTTAACCAATAAGCTACAGAGCTTCCCCATTGACAAGTAAAATCATCTGGCAAGTAAAAAAATAAATAGGGCGCATTGCGGCTCAACGGGTTAATTATGAAATTGATTTTACTCATGCAATTTCTAGAGAAAATGCTACAGGCCTCTAAACCTGATCTTATATATGAAACTAGCTTTGATCTTATATATGCCTGATCTTATATATGAAACTGCCAATTTTTGGATCTAGACTTGATAATTCTACACATTAGTCATTATAATTTCATTGCCATATAAGTGGCCAGTTATAAAGTGCATGGATTAAATCATTCAAAGCCAAGCCATGATAGTTCTGGCTTAAAAAGGTCTTCCTCTATAGGTATACTAATATAATAGAAACCACTTTAATTTTAATAAGTATGATCATGAAGCAGATGGTGGTCGACTGGCATTTTATATCGTAAAATTTGAAATAACAAATGAAACTAAAATCTGAAATTTCAACCATTTTCTTTCGAGGAAGACTGTTTCTCGTATTAATATAGTTTGGGCAACCTAATTACATACACCAGTTGCTAAAATTGTCCACTACACAGTACAAATAGACTGTTTATTTCGCTTTGTTTTGACCTAGCGGCTAGCTACTCTATCACAAATTAATATTGAACATATATAAACAGTATATTTTTACCATTACTTACAAATAACGATTTTCCAAAATTTCCGTGAGGTTTGAATATTCGTTCCCTGTCTTTCACTAGCCAGGATGATTCTTGCCACTTGTGCAACTCGAAACAATTGTTAAAATGTCGAAGCGAAGGCAAACACCAAGGAAAACTCCAAAACAAAAAGCTAAAATATTTTTGCGAAAATCAGGGGGATGTCAAAGTGGTAGCGGGCTCAAAATGAGCCTTGCTCAGTGGTAATTACCACGAGGATTTAGGACCAGTGGCGTCATTCTGGCGTCAGCAAACGTGAAAATCCTTGAAAATCCGCCATGTTTTTGGCGACACTTGTTTGACTGAAGAGAGATAGGAGCACCTCCTCCAGATATATTATAGCTCAGTTGTTTGGGCTCTATGATTACGACACAGAGTGCGGAGTGCGGAGTGCAAAGTGCGGAGTATTAGACAGATTTAGATCGAGGACGCGGACGTTAAGGCCCATTTACACGATACGATTAGTTGTATACGATTGTCATTCTGACGAATGAAAACGAGTGCTAATGCCACGTTATTGCTCATTCGCTAATGGCGAAATTTGAAATGTGACGTTTGTACGCGTGTTTATTCGATCACATACGCCAGAGTAAGAATCGTATACAACTAATCGTACCGTGTAAATGGGCCTTAAAGGCGACGTGAAAATGTCAAAATGGCGTGGCATATCCATACATGGGCACAACACGCCATTTCCACGTCGTCTTTGGCGTCCGCGTCACAGATGATAGATTGTACCAGATGTCTCACTCAACAAAAATTGTGTCCGTGATTTTTTATGAGCACAAGTTGGCCGCCATTTTGGCAGTAAGTGTAATCCACGCCATGAAACGTGAGCAATCACGCATTTTGGCAGTAAGCGCCATTTTGGCAGTAAGTGTCGCACGCGTCATCTGGCGTGAATCCGCGTGATAGACTCGCGAAAATCGCGGACACGAAAATCATAGGGACGGATACACAGTGAGACATCTGGTATGATCTATACTCTATGTCCGCGTCCTCTATTTAAATATGACTATTAAAACCAAAATAACTTCAAGGGTACGTTGACACCATAGAAATAATAATATATATTATTTCTATGGTTGACACGCTGCGATTTGTCGTGTACGATCAAGTGGTTGCATTTCAAATTTCGCCATAATCTAAATGAAGAGGAATTGTGGCGTCAGTAATAAATTTCATACGCCAGAATACGAATCGTACACGGCAAGTCGCAGCGTGTAATTTGTAAACGTAGCTTAAGGTGGCTCCCTACAGTTTTAGGTCTGTGTCGCGGAAATTTTGTCCACGCGCGAGATTAGTAGTGCACGCAACCCGCGTTGTCGACGTTGCACGCGTGGCGGGTTTTTTAAAATTGCGGGAACAGCTCGCGACAACAACAAAAATATTTATATTTTTTACTTTGCGTAAATGGCATCTCTTTTGAAAAATATTTTCCGTCAGAAGTACAGTACAGCTCATCTGTTTGCAGTGCTTCCTGTGTTAGGAGGCTTGTGTCCTAGTTCGTCAAAAAATGACAAAGAGGCCCTTCACAATAACAACAAAACGCCGCCGAAAGATCGCTTTAGCGAGAGAAATGCGAACGGGCGATTCGGACACTCAAAAAAGAAAGACTTTGCAGCCAGGAATGAGGGAAAAAACAAATGGGCAGCGAAACGAAAGCTTAACTTTAGCGCAGATACAGAAAACATCCCTGCGAAGCGACAAACACGAAACTCGGCGGTATGTAAATGTTTGTTTTGAAAATGTTTATTCAATTATTAGTAAAAATGTCACATTTTTGTGTAAAAATGTCAGTATATTAACTAGAGATTGACTCGTGTTTCTATTTCACGTTTATAGTTCAATACAAATTTTGGAACTCGTATAATTGACTTGGATGTTTTCCAAAACAATATTGAGAAATGCATCAATTGTAACTCAGGTAAATTGTATCCTAAAGATTTTACACAAATTGTTATCAATGACAATGTATATATAAGCATGAAACAAATAGCAATTTATCACAAAACTTCAAATATAGTTATATAGCATAGCCAAAAATATTTCAGAGCATTTTTCTCATCAAGGGGAATGCGTTTTGTACTCTATCTAGTAAGCAAACTAGCAACATATTCCCCTTTACAAGAAAAATCTTCTAGTTTATTAGAGTAGAATAGTAAAGCAGGGCATATATTACAGTTCAAGTCCCAAAAATCTTTTAATATTCGACGTTTAATGTAATAATAAATGTAATAGCATAGTGTTAAATCTTTAGGTCCACTATCCTTGACCAAATGCAAAAAGGAACAACACCTTGGCTTAGCAAGCATTTTTATGATCCAGTGTCCAAAGTGTGGTAATATTAATCATGTTAAGACCTCCAGTGAACATCGAACAGGCAAACGTGGACCAAAATCCTTTGATATCAATTCACGCATTGTTCTTGGTTGTCTCCATGCAGGAATTGGACAAACACACATTAACAATCTGCTGGCAACCACCAACATCCCTGGGTTGACAAATAACACATTCAAACATCGGGAACGAGAAGTTGGACTTGCCGTAGAGAAAGTTGCTAAAAAGAGTTGCAAACAAGTTATAAATGATGAAAAAATTATTGCCCTCAGTAATGGTATTCAATCCGATGAGAACAAATTACTACCAGTTGCATGCTCATTTGATATGGGGTGGCAAAAGAGAGGGAAAGGGCACAATTCTAACACTGGTCAGGCTGCAGTCATGAGTATGACATCTGGGAAAGTGATGGATTATACAACCCGAGTGAAAACATGCAGATATTGTGATTATGCGAAGGCAAAAAACATAGCAGTCAAATCCCATGATTGTCGAAAAAACCATTCAGCATCATCTAAGGCAATGGAGCCTGATTCAGCTGTAGAAATGTTTAACAATGCTTTGTAGAAAATTACTCTCAACAGCCTCCGTAAATAATTTCCCACAAAAATAATAATACTGTAAAGTTTAATACATAATAAATCTCATATAAATCCCGATACTGAGTCACTCGCTTCGACTCCTCACAACAACAACACATGTGCTTCCCGCCAAAATTTCCCCAACCCGATTTTAGGGTGGGTGTTTCCATGCAAGTGTTTCCATCACACTCCCCCCATATGCATTCTAGACTAGATGCATATGTTATAACTGTCCGTTGTTCTATGATCTAATAAAGTTCGGTATATAACCTTAATATTACTAATAGCTAATAATGTCAACGTTAATAAGAGTCCACTACTCTTGTTAATGATTAATGTTAAGTGTTTATATCTCGTCTTCTTCTTCTATCTCTTGGATTTGTCTAATCCGGGCGTTTGCTGTAGCTGCTGCGGCTCGCTTGGGTCGGAATTCTGTTGCTCTTGGGTTTAGACTCACTCTGTTCGCGATCGGCTTGGCATCACAAGCTAACTCAAGTGGATATAACAATTGGACTGGCCTTTCTATTGTTCCCTTTCCAGTCTTGAGCTGAACGCCTCGAATAACTCCGTCTTTACCCACGAATGTTTTAGTAACCACTGCTAGGGGCCAAGTTCCTCGATTCTTGGAATCTGCTTTCACGATAACTACATCGCCTTCCGTCGGTCGAAATTTGCTCACTTTATGCGTTAGATTGTGTCTTTCCCTTAGTGCAGTCAGATATTCTCTTTGCCACCTACGCCACAACCCATCCTTGCACGATTTAAGAAATTTCGCTCGTTTCCGAATATCTTGTTCTGCTATTGTCCAAGTCTGCTGTTCTGGCAAATGAGACGTGCGCTGATATAGGAATGTTTCTGGTGTCAAAGTTGGCAACTCTAGATCATCTTCAACATAGCTGAGCGGTCGACGATTAATTTGCGTTTCGACATCCAACAATACTTCACTAAGCTCCGTCCAAGTAAGAACACCATTCCCAATTACTTTGTACATGGCGGACTTAACAATTGCAATAAGCCTCTCAAACTGCCCGCCCCACCATGGGGCACGACTTAAATTGAACCTCCATGTTATCTCGTACCGTTCTAGAAGACCTCGAAGTCGTTCATCCTTCCGTAGCTGTGAAATCCATTTTGCGGCTTTAATAAATGTTCCACCATTGTCCGAGTAAATGATACGTGGTCTTCCACGACGCGCGATAAATCGCTTAAGACATGGTATGAACGTTTCCGTTTCCATATTTGGTAATAACTCTAGATGCACAGCTCGAGAAAGGCTACACGCGAAAATAGCCAAATATGCCTTTCCTTCCTTGTTGCCTTTCTGCTTATATCTGATAGGACCAGCAAAATCTGTACCGATGACTTCAAAGGCTCCTCCGACCGTGGTGCGTTCTTCTGGTAGTTGACCTGGTACCGGTTTAGTGATCGCTGACGCGCGGAATCTCTTGCACCCATAACAATTGCTACGAACGATTTTGACTAAGCTTCGCAACCGAGGTACCCAGAATTGCTCTCTAACTGCAGCCATAGTTAAGTTTACTCCCCCGTGGAGCGTTTCACTGTGTACTCGTTGTACTAACTTCTCTGTAAACTTCGCGCCTCTTGGAAGGAATATTGGATATTTTCCTTGAATTCTCCCGTGACATACCAGTATATTATCTGCATTAGTACGTAATCCTAACTCTTCCACCAACTTTGGATAGTGTGGTTCTTTCTGTACTCGTTGTTGAACACGCCGAATCCACCAATCGCGTTCTCTGATTACTTCTTCCGTCGTAATTGGTCCGGACCTTTCGTCGTTATTTCTGCAGTTGTGTATGAACCTCTTGATCCACACCCCAACTCTACAGGCTCGTCTTAAGTTTAAGCGTTCCAGTAATCGATCGAATTCGTCGGCATCGTCCTTGACATTTACGACATTTAATAGTTCCTTTGTTGCTCTTGCTTCCGTCTCTGAGGATGGCGAAGCTTTCGTCACCAAATTTTCTGGCCCCTCACTCTCGTCTTGAAGCCATTTTGGACCATTCTCCCAAAGCGCTTTCTGTTTGATTTGACCACCCCTGCTTGCCAGGTCAGCGGGGTTATCACTTGTGGGCACATATCTCCAATGGATTTCTTTGTGTAACTGTATCTTGGCCACTCTGTTCGCCACGAATTGTTTATACTGACCGTTCCCTTTGAGCCAATGTAGGGCAACTGTACTGTCAATCCACCCGAATAGTTGTGGTGTTGGGATATTATCAAGGGCGTTTCGTACATTGATAAGCAGGTTAGTAGCCATGTGCGCGCCAACCAGTTCAAGCCTAGGTATTGTTAAGGTTTTCTTGGCAAGACGACCTTTCGCTGCTACAAGTTATTGAGTGGTTCCAGAAGGTTGATGAACCACCGAATAAACAGCCGCTCCAACTCCTTTCATAGAGGCATCACTAAATGCATGTAGCTCTACAGCTTCGATTTCTTCCTGATGACGAGTGATTGATCTTGGTACTGAATATTCCCCCAGCGTTTCTTCCTCCCATTTTTTCCAACGTTGTTGAAGGTTCTCGTTTAATGGGGTATCCCACGCCTTTTGAGATTCACAGACTTCTCGGTAGATTTGTTTACCTTCGAGTGTCACTGGTGCGATAAGTCCTAGAGGGTCGTAGATCCTGGCTAGCTTTCCGAGTACTCCACGTTTTGTCGGTTGAACCTCTTCTTTGGGGACTACTACACTCAAAATGTCCTGTTGCTTATTCCATTTCAGCCCGAGTATCTTTGAATCTTGTTGGTTTACATTCAATTGTTGCTTCGCGTAGGTCTGCTCGTCTTCTGCTTGTGTTGTGGTCTTGTCTTCCAGTTCAGGAACATTGGAATTCCACTTGTGTAGTTGGAATGTGGCGTCTTGAAGTATCTCACTGGCCATTTCCTTCGTGTGTTGTGCTTGCTCGGTTGTTTGTCCACCTGACAGAAGGTCATCGACATATAGACTCTTTCTCAGCTCAGCTACGACTTCAGGACATCTCCATTCCCATGTGTCAAGATGAGCTTCTAGAACACCGTTGAGGAGAAACGGAGAAGGGGCAAGACCAAACAGAACCCGCGTAAAACGGTATGTCTCGATTTCAGCTTCTTCACCCGACCGCCAATGGAATCTTAGGGCATCTCGTTCGGTTTCTCGTACACGTATTTGTAAGAATGCTTGGCGAATGTCTCCGGTTACTGCAACTGGATAAACGCGTTGTCGGACTAGAACATCCCATAGTCGATTGAGAAGTGGGGGTCCGGGGTTAAGGCATTCGTTGAGGGATGGGGAATCAGGAGACGCACGTGCTGACGCGTCATAAACGACTCGTAACTTTGTCGATGATGCCGCTTCTCGCACAACCGGTTTGTGCGGAATATAGAACTCTTGACCCGAGGCTTTGACAGAGCTTTCTCAACGATATTTTCTTTTACTTGACTCTCAATAACTTCGTTATACGCTACCGTTAAGTCCTTTCGCTGTAAACTTTTCTCTAGCTTGCTCAATCGATGTAGACTTCCATGTTCGTTATTCGGCAAATCTGGATGGTTAGCTCGCCAAGGTAACCCTGTCTCGTACCAGCCTTCTTTGTCACGGTGAAGTTGCTCCTTGAACTCAGCATGCACGATAGTTTGGTCATTCTCAGCTGCATCAGCAAGTCCAAGAATGTCCATTCGACATAAACCTTCGTAATCACTTTGTGAAGTTTGCGTCAACAGCATCCGGTTCCGGTCGAACTCTGTTCCAGGGCTCATTATGAACCATCCCATCTTCGTCAGCTCCGCGACTGGGCCACCTTCCTTTCTCACACAAGGTTTCGTCTCGGTCTTGATGCGTGCGTATTCGCCACTTCCAAAGATAACATGCACAGGAAGTTGACTCTTGGTGTCTTTGTCCGCGATTATCACCTCAGACAGATGGGCGTTGTCTCGTATGAGGTCAGCGTAATTTGGGTTTTCAACAGTGAGAAGTTCTGGTTTATTCACTTTGATGAACTTCACTGGCATTTGGTACTGTCCGTCAACGGATTCAGTGTTCAATTCGTATATGTCCATGCGTACACTCTTCGAGGACATAAGCATTTCAACTTGCCTTGTTTGTGTCGAAATAGGTTTCGCTTTCACTACTTCTACGAGTTTCGCTGAAATATATGAGCTCCCAGATCCTGTATCGATTAACGCTCTACACTTGACTCCGTTCACCTTGATAACAATAACTGGCAACACGCTTTCGCTCGACTGGTTTGTAGTCATAACTTGCTCCTTTCCTTCGACTTTTGATGTATCACAGATGGAAGTGTGGTGTCGTTTTCCACAATTTTGACAGGATCCCTTGCTGGAACACTCAGCTGCACGATGGGTTCCAATCGCACAATTGAAGCATAATCGTTTTCTTGCTAGAATTTGTTTCCGTTCTGTCACACTAGTAATCTTGGTGCAGTTCCCTGCTTTATGAGTTACGTCACCGCAATAAACGCATTCACGTGACTTCGCATGAAAGGATTTGATTTGTCGATCTTTATCTCGATCTGTACGACTTTGGTCCACGGGGTTCCTCTTGACCCACTGGCGAACTGCCTCTGATAACTGGACAAAGGTCCACCTCTCCCAGTCAGGGTCTGTTCGAACAAGATCCCCCCTAATCCCGGGGAGTTTGTCCAACGTCATCGCGACGTTGCCGTTAACCTGACTCAGTCTGTTCATTGTTTGCAGTGCTTGCACACAATGGTTAAGACGCTCACTAAAATCTCGAATTTTCTTGGGGTTTGCACCGTGAATATATGGCAAATCCATTATATCCTTGACATACGACTTAATAATTTCCGATTCTTTCCCATAGCGATCTTTCAGGATAGATTTTGCCCTGTTGTAGCCTTCAGTAGTGAAGGGTAATGAATCAATAACATGCTTTATCTTGGGGTCAAGCAACTCACAGAGGTAGGTAAATTTCGTGATGGGGGGCATATTAGTTTTATCGACTGTTTCTGTAAACTGTCCCCAGAACCTTTGCCAATCTTGAAAATCTCCACCAAATTTTGAAATAACTAACTTCGGTAGTTTAGCTAATGTACTTTGTTGCGACTCACCTTGCAAATTCCCCTCTTTATTTATCGTCAGTGTTTCCACTTTCGCACTTGCTAACTTCGTCTCGAATTCCATTCTTGTTTTGAAAAGCATTGTTTCAAATTGAATTTGTTCTTCTCTCGCTACGTTATCCTTGTCCTTTCGACGCTGATCAAGCCATGTTCTCAGTTCTTCGACGACTTTATCCGACTCCGCTAGTTTATTGTCGATTTCCGTGTTCCAAGTTGTAATTTCCGTAATGTCTGTCTCGGCTTGTATTTTAATCTCTTCGACAGCTACTCGCATTTCGTTTATGCTATTTGTTATAGATTTGATAGTAGCACAATGTCTCTCGATTGCATCTTGTTGATTCGATTCGACAATCGTACCTGTTCGATCTACAGTAAGCTTTAATTGTTTCAACTTCGTATCCAATTTCTTCGCTTCCATGTTTCCACTTTATAATCTCGCTTAAAATCTCGCTTAAATCTCGCTTAAAATCCCGTCGTCGAGGTGCCACTTGTAGAAAATTACTCTCAACAGCCTCCGTAAATAATTTCCCACAAAAATAATAATAC